TGTAAACAAGTGAGAAGTTGTGATAGGGCGGCAGTGGGATAAGAGGGTAAAGAGTAGATAGATAGGCCAGTAAAGAAAGAGGAGTGATAGTGTGACCGTTTTGACAGAACATTTGTCGAGGGATTGACTTCACTTGTCTCTTTGGCGAGTTCGTAGCTTGGTACGGAGAATGGCAAAACTCACTGATGATGCCGACTACAATGCCGGCGAAACATTTGAAAATGTACCAAGTCCACTGTCTGATGCTTGAACTCATGACAACTACTATGGCAGACGACTTCGGACTAGGTGCGTTCTACTATGGCACCCTGACAGCAAGATCAAGTTGCGACAACGAAGTCAACCCCATTTGAAATATAAAAAGGAGACTGTGACCATACCAGAGGCCACAACATCTTGGTTTTCATATATTCAAATATTCGACATCGCTGTGAAACAAATCTGTGACTAGCTAAAATATTACTAATGTAATGAGTTTATCGGCAAAGGTACAGTTGCCTATCTGTACAAAGTTTTCAAAATGATCTGAGTTGTGAAATGCTTTTTTTAAAATTTCAATTGTTTTTATTATCTTATACCACAATGTAACTATGGTCGTGTTTGAGTAAGGCGTTTGTCTCAGCTCACACTGGGTTAAAATCGTTTGGGATTTAGGGATAATGGAGGCGATAGTGGAATTGCTGTCAAAACAGGATACTTGATGAGTTGAAATTCAATGCAAAAATCAAGCCACATCTTCAATTCACCGTTTGAAGAGTTGTTATCAGTCGAACATAAAACGTGTGTGAATTGTACACCTCGACAATAACCAGGCTTCACATAACTCCCAGCAAAATAGTTATTCATTTTATTCTTATCTTCTGAGCCAAGAGATTGCAATGTAGATTTGAATTGACTGAGTAAAAGTGTGCTATGAAGAAATTCGTAAGTCAATCTCTTTAAAAGTCTCTTAACGCTTCCTCTTAGTCTGCTGTCGTTTTGCCTTACTGGAGCTTTTCTATTCGCACAGTCCTCGAGGTACTCTTCTTCGGTTAAGTCAAATATGCAACCTCGATAGACCCATACTAATCTTTTGTCCGTCGTTTTACAGATGTCGTTAAGGCGAAAAGCCAGAATTGATGAAAAAACTCATTAAATGCATTCAGCCAAGAAATAGAGTAATAGAGCCTTATTGTATTTGGTGCGTTTTTTTCGTGAATTAGGCTCTAACAATGGCTATCACCGGACAGACGAAAGCATAACATGGGTTTAGCGATGTCACAAGACATAAAAACGAGGACTTCCTCGCAAAATCCTACTGTCATTACTTGGAGGCAGTCATCTTCCGTTTTCCGGTAACACCACCTCACGAATTCCTCCCAATTTACCTCCCCTTCGTCACAACTTTACCTTCCACTTCAGAGATGAGCAACTTAAATGCTTGCTGCTTTTAATTACTAAGAGCATCCGGCTCTTCTTCCCTTCTTTTGAATATAGCCAAGTTT